GCACCTAGTAGCATGACATTTATTAGGAATACAGACTTCTGAGATCCGGTGCATTTCTGCGTGCGGGGGTCATTATGTTACCGCTATGAGGTATAAAATATGTGGCTGCATTTTTATTAGAAGCAATTGAAAAATCTGCAAATAGCAGTCTAGCATGGGCACTATAGGTCTTGCATCCTCCACACTTTTAAGCATGGGCACTATAGGTCTTGCATCCTACACACTTTTAAGCATGGGCACTATAGGTCTTGCATCCTCCACACTTTTAAGCATGGGCACTATAGGTCTTGCATCCTACACACTTTTAAGCATGGGCACTATAGGTCTTGCATCCTCCACACTTTTAAGCATGGGCACTATAGGTCTTGCATCATCCACACTTTTAAGCATGGGCACTATAGGTCTTGCATCCTCCACACTTTTAAGCGTGGGCACTATAGGTCTTGCATCCTCCACACTTTTAAGCGTGGGCACTATAGGTCTTGCATCCTACACACTTTTACCAGCCTGGTAAGCAAACCGTCAGGGTCTATTTCTCAGACATCAGTGAGACAACCTCATCCTATAAAAGAATTGTCAAGGTTTGCTCTAAACTGATGGGGGTCCAGCAGAGGGACCTGCAGTCCTTGTGAGAGAAATGGGTGCTTCTTAAAAGTAAGGAAATAGTGTCCCAACAGACCATCCCCTTGCAAAAAGTAGTATACTTGAAGTTCATTTTATTTAAAAAAAAGTTCATTTTATTTACTATATTTGAATAAAAGTATAAGTATTTCAAGTATACTTTGCACTAAGTGCACTATAAGAATACTGATTTAATACTTTTTGGACTAGATTGAGACAATTTTAGTTTGTAAAAAGTATTCTTGAAGTATACTGTTAGACAACAATTTATATGTTCAAGACATGCATGTAAGTTTGCAATTACTTGTAGAATACTAATCATATGATAAAAAGTACTTCCTAAAATATTCTTAAAGATAACCCATACTGTATGTACACTGTATGTACACACTGCAATGTGTTGAACAAGCAAGTTCATAACAGGTAATTCCTCAAAGCAAATGTGTTTTGTGAAAAACTTATTGTGCAACATTAAATTAGTGAATGTCATCATCTTATTTTGCTCTTGGATTAAAAGAATGTATTAGTACTTTGCAGCATAAATGCATAAAGAGTAGCAAAAACAAAAGCACAAGTACAAACTTTACTATTTAAGTATAAGTCTTGTTGTACTTGGTCTTGGACTTCTTTCATACTTTTGAGTATAAGCCAAGTACACTTCACTGTACTATTCTTAAGTATATCTAATGTAGTTTATAATAAGTAAACTTCAAGTACACTGCCATATTTTAAAGTACAAAATAAGTATACTTGTAGTACACTTAAATAAGCTATTTTTTGCTAGAGGTAAGTAAGCTAGAGGGATATTCTGGCTGGCCGCCGCTTCACGGCACCACGCAGGAAGACTAACAGGTTGTCCTGCTCATTTACTCCATCAGGCTGTCACCTGATGCTAATCTCTGTTGATTTGTATTTGAGCGATTTTTTTTTTTTAAGTATGTGAGCATAAGTCTGACTGAATTGCCCTTGGGGATAAATTTAGTTGTCTGAATTTGAACTTTCACATTTTCTTTCCCACGTCTTTCTACAAAGGAACAAACAGCAGCTTCACTCTGAGGTTTGCACAGATGGGAAATGTCATCTTATTTGAGGAAGTGAGATGATGAAAATCAAGAATTTCCTGCCAGTTCAAACGTTGCATCAGTCACCCTTGTTTGACCTTATTTATGCTACTTGCTTTCTCGCATTGCTGTATCAAAGCTTTGCTTCACACCTGAGGGAAGGTGTTCACATCCTGTCGGTTGAAGTGGTTCAGCTTCTGATAGATCTGAGCCTCCTTTACATGCTGGAGAGGCTGATGACCATCGGCCATGAGGGTCAGGAGAAACTCCTTGTTGTTCTGCAGCTGGAGGTCACGCACACGCGTTTTGATTTTCCTCAGAATCCGTCCTTCTGACAAAAAGAGACAAAGACACAAAAAAGTGAGCTAAATGATTTAAAGTCGTTAGTCTGTCACATTCATAACACATATACTCACCAGAATCAACAACGTTTTGAAGAAGCAGAACAAGAAAACACCAAGTTTGTAAGAAAAGCATTTTTAAACACAAACTTCAATCCAAACTCGCATTTGTTGTAAATGAGGAGGGTCGGGTCCTTATCTAGCTGCTGGCAGTGGTTCTCCAGTGTCCTTGTAACTGGAGCTGATGCTCTATTGAAACCGAAGGAAGCAGCATGTTTGTGTGAGGGAAACAGAAAGTGTGAATGAACCGCTCAGCATAACAGAGCGTCAGCTTGGTAATGTTATTAGATATGTTTGCTGTGTGATGGCTTTTTTTGGTTGGGGGGGGGGGGGGGTATTTTGTTACTTAACCAGTCCAGGTTTTTCCGCTTCATCTTAGTGTTCTCTGGCTCCAAAACCTCCACTCATCTCTAACAGTGCGCTTCCAAACTTTTCACTTTTCCACCAGTGAGAAAAAAAAAAAAAAAAAAAAAACAAAGACTCTGAACCTCAAATATTTTTGGTTCAAGTATTTTTAATCAGAGACTTGCCAACCATTTTTTTCTTTTTTTTTATGTTGCTCATTTGATCCATTGGTAACAGTTAAGGCTGAATCGGTCATTTATGGCATTAAATGGATCTCTATAGATCCCTATTTCTAACCCCTATTTAGAAACTAACAGCAGGGTCCATAATTTGGGAACCAATGATGCCAATAATTTCTGCTCTGTTGAATCACTGACGTGTTCTCTTAAAGGTGTCTTTAAAGCTTATTTTAAACTAGACAGAACATGTAAAGTAAAAAAAAAAGTGGCCTGGCAGTGCAACAAGTTCAGATGGCTACAAGAACAATGGAGGAGACAAGCAGACGTGATGACTTGTTTTGAAAAGACAGGAAAGTGTCATGAATGTTGTTTTGCCTGAACAAACTCAAGCTTTGTTTTCTGACAGTTAATATTTATTTTTACATATAAATCACATAAAATTGCAACGTGCAATTTAAATTTACATTAAACAATTGCAAAAATGAATCATTTGTAGTTTCCATGCCAGGTCCCTAGGCACGTGTCCAGCACGTCAAGAGCATGAAAACTATTGAAAACATTCAGAATGACGACTACATGAATGTTTGTTTGGCCCGAGGATGCGCTTGGGTTGCTTCTACAAAATAAAAAGGGTTAGTAGCCCAAACAGCACACTGCTGTCCACCATTGTTCACGGCAGCAGAATGGCTCAGTTGTTAGCACTGATGCTAACAAGAAGCTCGATCTCCAGTTTGGACCAGGGTTTTCTGTGCACCGTTTACATGTTCTCTGAGCAGCATCTTCACAGGTCTTTGGATTTTTGCTGCGGGGTTGATGCACACATTTCAAAACACAATCATCTCAGGATCACAGAACACGTTCTCTGTGTTTGCGCTGAGATTACCTGACCTTTAGATTCTAGAAACTGTGAAACTTCATCACCTTCAACGAGACAGCCCAGTTGGAGTAAAGGTTAAGCTGCTGCACTTCACTGTGTATGAAAGAGGCACTGATGTAGCAAAACCAAAGCTGATTATTTAGACTTGGCTGCAGCCATTTCACATGATCTGCTGTTTTATCTGAGAGGAAGTCATTTTGGTGGAATTGGTTTCCTGCGATCACTGTCTGTGAAACACGCGTAAACTAGCATTATGTACTTAGGTCTTGTGAACGTATTTCATCAGGAAGTTTCCTGTCAGTACCTGCAAAAGACAAGATAATAAATAATA